ACAGAAAACATCCATTTTCAACACCCAACAACAACGGTGTAGGAAGATTTCTTTAGCCCTTATTAAGGCACATGACAACAACTTCTATAGTTCTTAGGTGGTTGAAAAGGAGCTTAGTTCTTGCAGGCAACTGAACTCCAGTTCCTTCACAGTAGTCAATATATTTCATCCTATGCATGCAACCTGGCTCCCATTGTCCTCCCTGAATGAGTTAAAAAAAAATCACCCAATCCCACATGTAGATTGGTGTTTTTCCCTCATATTAAACAAAATTTAAAAAAAAGCACAAGTGCTTTAATGAAAACAAATAGATTTCACATTGCTACTTACCCTGATAACTTTTACTTACCTAGAATATATTCGAAGGATTCTACTTCCATGGCTTTCCGAGAAACAGAGTTTTAAAGACTTATAACCAGCTGTGAGAAAAAAAACTCACCTAATCTCAGTCTTAATTGACAATTCTAGATTTTCCCACAAGGGAAACATGCTATCCATCTGCACCCCATGAAGACTCCTAAGGATATTATATGTTTCCATCTAGTTACCTCTTACTCTCCTAAATTCCAGCATATAAAAGCCTAGCCTGTCCACCCTTTCTTTGTAAGAAAAGCCACCCATTCCAGGTTTTAACCTACTAATCTTTCTCCGAGCTGCTTTTAACTCATTTATCTCCTTCCTTAAGTATGATTACCAAAACTATAAGCATTACTCCAGACAGAGTCTCATCTGTGCCCTGTATAACAGGTTTGTTAGGAAAGCAAATTGGGAACACATCCTTGGTATTAAATATGTCAAATAAAGCAGCAGATAAACATTTTTATCATTTAGTTGTTTTTGTTATCAAGATCAGATGGACAAACTTTCCTGCCATTTAATGGAAAAGCGCTAAATAACAATTATCACAACTCAACTGTATTACAAGTCTTATCTCGATATTAAATGGTACAACAGTCCACACCGACAATAAATAAATTAAACCAACAAAATATTCATACACGTAGTCATTCTACACATTTAAGACAAAAACATTACATTTTGATCATTTCAGAGACCTTGTGCTTGTTAAGCTATATTAACCAATTAGGATTCTCAACAGAATGTAAGTTGTTAAGGAACTCAGGCAGATGTTCTGCTTGCATTAGTTTCAGAACAAAGGCTTGAAGTACCAATTCCAAATAGAACTGCAGCCTGTAAGAAGTTACCATGACCTTCATTTCAGAAATTAGAACTTTTCCAGATATTGTATTAAAACATCTAATATTTTAATTATTTGGCTTACCAGCCCAATTTATCTTCTATCCCAAGCATTCGTTAGTAGGTGAATGTTTGCAAGTAACATACCATAAATTGCAGTGTAAGGCAATTAAGTAATAACTTCTCGATCTCAGCTCTTCAAAACAAAACTCAAGAAAGAACACAATACATGCCACCATTTACACACATTACGGTCTCCAAACAATGGTTTATTCACTATTTGGGGTAAGATTGATTGCCCATTGCAAGATTTAGTTTGGAAAAGGTGTGCAATCATAACGTTCTGAAGCTTCAACATTCCTTTTTGCATTGCATTGGAATGCTTGGCTATTAACTCTCCCTGGGCCTTGGTACCTCCTGCATGTCACCATCAGTTTAGACATTCACACTCTGCACCGCAGGTGTTGTTGTGGCAGTGTACTTCATCAACATGATGTAATGCAACAACTAATCAAGCCTCCTAACTCTCAACCTAGAAGGACAACTAACAGGCACATTGCAACACACCTACATCAAAGCTCCCTGCTGAGTTACACAATAAACTGAAATGGAACTACAGTGCGATTGCTTCACATTTGATGCTTCTAAGTCTTCAAACTCCTTCCGAACATTGTGATTATAGCTACATCACGTGAATTGTTGCAGGTCATCATCACTTTCTAAAGATCATTTAGGGTTACATATAAATACTTGCTTTGCCTATGACACCTGTATCCCATGAACGAATAATTTAAGAAAAACACTCCTTTGCCAGCCTACTTCCAAAATTTGGTCTTCCACATGGTTTAAAACACAGATTGTATGAAAACAAAAATGTTGGCTTGCAGTGTCAATTCCATTGTAGTAGAGATGTTCATACACAATTATAATACAGCTAGGACAAATAGGAAAACAAAAAAGATGTCATTTGGATATTTCCTACAGCAGACAATGTCACAAAGTTGAAATGGAGTGGATCTTAAATGATGTCTATAATTTTGGAATACTTTGGCAATCAAGCGTTGCTATCTCCTCTTACATTGAGGAGATATCCTTTAATGCTTCAATTTTCTTCCAAGAAGTGTGTTTCAGGCTAAGCTCTTATTTTTCCTTGACTGTACACCAACTTTATACTTCTGGATGGAATATGAACATACAAAACAAGAATTGACCTTCAGTGCCTCCATATGCTCCAGTATTCAATAAAATCATTGCTGAGCTCTTAGCATTTCGAATTTTATATTTCTAACTAACCTCTTGATAACCTTGGATTCCCTTGCCTATCAAGAATTTATCCACCTTTGCCTTAAAATATTTAATGAACCTGACTCCATTTGTTTTGCTACTCCCTAAACCATGATAGCTTATTGTCCAAAATAACTTTTGATGTGGCACCTTTTCAAATACCTTCTCAAAATCTAGAATACAAGAAAAAGCTTTGATATATCAATCCTTCTTCAACTCCAGTCTCTCCAAAACAATTATTTGTTCCTTTTTGCATTATATCTCAATATGTTTAATTGTATTTATTGAACCAGGTCAGCAGTTCCCTTCCCTAAACTTTGAATAGAGACTGTCTGAACATGGTGCAGAAATGGCCCACAATCCTTCCAAATTTTTCCTTGATCCTGGATGATGTCACCCTTAATTTCAAGCCAGCTAAGGATGAAATTTGAATTTAGGACTTCCAGCTGAATGCAATGGTCTTGCACTGTATTCACGTGTCAAAGGTCTAAACAACACAATTTTAGTGAGAGGAGGAGGAGAGAGCAATAGTCTAGTTAGCATGAAGTGTTACATTCTTTATTTATCAACATGGAAACCAAGTTTCATGAAAATACTGTAAAACTATACTTTCTGACATCAAGTTAAGAACCTGAATTATTTACTTGTTAGTCACCATATCAAGCTAATTCAGTGACCAATTAACCATTCTATACTTTTCAGACTTTAAAGTACAAGGTCAATTTATGAAAAAGCTGACGATCAATAGGTGCTTGGAGCTTAACAATACTGTTGGAAACATGTTTAAAATAATTGAAACAAACATAATTATTTGAATATATATAATTTTAAAAATGCCAGTTTCAAGCCCTTATCATTGTTAAAGTTGCTGTGCAAATGAACTAACTCAGAAAAGCTATCTACCAACGGAGCACGCTGACCTAAAAGCAAGTTGATTTTGTATAATATCTAATAGGTTTGAAATGAATTTAACAATGATGATTATATATTTATGTTTACCAAGTTTCTTTTCTGCTATTTTGACTGATTTCAAAAAGGCACTGGAGGAGATAAATCCAGAAGTTCAAAAAGTGTTTAAAAAATAAAGCTGAAAATAAAATTATTTATTTCATGGAATGCAGCAGCAAACTAACACAGTAAGATTTAATGGGTAAGCAGAACTCAAAGTAATTCTCAGTTATTTAGGGTTAGGAGAAAGGATTCCAATTAAGAAAGAACAAGTAACATGATACAAAGCGTATGAACTAGAAATTCCAATCGGTGGTTGAGCAGCTAATGCCAAAAACACTGAAGTACAAACTGCAACGCCACAAAGGAACAGCTCAATTTATTCCAACTCAATAACATTTGTGCCACACAAATGGCAGGCAGTGACCGTCTCCAACAAGAGATGATCTAACCACTGGCCCTCGATATTCAATGGTGTTATCATCATTGAAGCCCCTGTTAATAGCATCTTGGGGGTTACTGCATCAGAAACTCGACTGGACTCACCATACAAATACAGTTGCTATAGGAGCAGCTCAGAGGCTAGAAATCATGCATTGACTATCTCAACTCCTAACTCCTCAAAGACTGTACACCATCTACAAGGCTCAAGTCAGGACTGCAATGGAATCCTCCCTACTTGGTTGGATGAATACAGCTCCAATAACAATCAAGAAGCTTGACACCATCCAGATCAAAGCAGCCTGCTTGATTTCATCATGTCCACAAACATCCAGTCCCTCCACCATCAACACACAGTTGCAGTACTGTGTACCGTTTTTAAGATGAAGCTGCAGAAATTCACAAAGGCTTCTTAGATGGCACCTTCTAAACCCATGACCAATTCCATCTCGAAGAACAAGTGCAGATAGATGGGAACACCACCAGTTGCAAGTTCTCCTTCAATCCACTAACCAATCAGACTTGGAAGTATATCATGGTTCCTTCAGTAACCCTGGGTAAAAATCCCGGAACTGCCTTCCTAACAGCATTGTAGATCTGCCTATATCACAGACCGTAACAGTTCATGAAGGCAGCTGGCCACCACATTCAGGACAACTAAGGATGGGCAGTAAATGCTGGTTTAGTGAGTGAGTAACCACCATATCCCATGAGTGAGTTAAAATAAATCTCCCACAAAGTGTTTGGCTGCTTTGCAAGAAGAAAACTGGACTATTTAAATTTTATATTAATATGTTCCCATTTAATTTAGCTTTCCTTTTCAGCATTCCACAAACATAAGAATGGAAAGACTACTCAATTGCTAGATATTATCTAGGATCCTTTTCATCTGTTTGCAAAAGATGCAACATTACAGATTACTTTGGCCAAATAGACCATCTTAACAGATACGAGCATTTTTTTTTTAAACAATCAACACCAAAGAGACGAGAAGAATTCATGTAACAGAAATCAGAGAAACCTGTATATCAACAAACAGGATAATAATCTTTCCCTATAATTATTACTAACTTTTTGTTTCATCATTTCAAAGAAAAATAAAAATATATTGGCCATACTGAAAGTCTTACCCGCTGGTGGCAAGTCCAGTTTATTACGTTTCAACTCAGACATGGAGTTTTGCAGCTGATCTATAACAAAGTCATCATCAAAGAAAAAATCCTTGGCCAAAGACTCTTGCAGAAATTCTATCAAGTCCTCCATTGATAACTTCATCAAATGTTCTGTAAAAATAAATAGAATTATGTTATTATTTTTGAGGAGGAAGAATTTTCATCTCTTTTCATCATGTTTCTCAGTCACTATTTTCTGTCCAACAAATTGTGGAAGCTACATACTCTTATATACAGGAACATTCTGCTGCAATTTTCTTCAGCTTTAACCTTCCTGTAATAAAACATCTAGCTTTTGCTTCATAACATTTTTAAACGCACCACAGAAATCGAGAACTGATCATATTGGAAAATCACCAACACAAATATAGATGTCACCACCTTGTGGCACAGTGTGTTCCTGCATTTATGTACTCAGGAGTTTCTCTGCTCAACATACATTGCTCTTCCCTTCATCCTATGCTTGCATATGCTCCATCTTAGGTTAGGGAGAAAAATTAATAGTGTGTTATGGTTGAAGAACAGAAGAATTCCAGCATTTCTCCAAGAGTTCACTGACACTACAACTCCTTCCAAATATGCATCCACTACCACCTGGAAAGGAGAAGGTGCATGGGAACACCACCCATTCCAGGTTCCCTCCAAGGCACACATTGTTGCTGGGTCAAAATTCTGGAACTCTTTATAAAAGCATTGTGGTGTCCCTACTACCTAAGAACTGCAGCAGTTTAAGATGACAGCTCACTGCCACCTTTTTAAGGGCAGTTAGGGATGAGCAATAAATGTTGGCCTAGCCAGCAATACCTACATCCCATTTACATATTTAAAAAATGCATTAAACGGTGTATTTTTCAAGTGATTGCTCAGCCTCAGGGCAACAGCCATAGCTCAATCTATCAGATATCCACATGTTTTTCCAGGGAAGGATCAAAGCCGAGCAATAAGGACCAGACCCTGAGCAAATTACAAAGTTTCCCAAGGCCGGTTTTAATGCTTCTAAAAATGATCTCACTGAAAGCAGTGAATTTAAGACAAACCAGAGAGATTGGAGGTTTTCACCTTCTTGGTCCATACAGCTGTATAAAACAGCATATTACAGCAGACCTTTCAAAAATCAAACCAAGCTCAAATAGCTCAAATCAAGCTATTAAATAGGTTAGAAAAACAGAAAATACTGCAAAAACTCAGGTTTGGCAGCATCTGTGGAGACAGAAAGAGTTAATGTCGCAAGTTCAATAGGACTCACCTTCACAACAGCTGCCTCCCCTTAATAAGGTTTTGCAATTCCTCTGCATCTCCATCCCCCATCAGATGGTCAGAGAGCTCTCTGTTTCTCCCTTAAAAGGCAGCCTTATTAGTTCCCATTCGCCATCACACTCCTCTGTTGGCTAAATTCATTCTCATTTTAAACAATTTTTCCTTTTATTCGCCTCACTTTTAGAAAATGATGTGACTATACGTACCCATATGGGTCCCATTTTAGTTACTCCATGTTATGCCTGTCTCTTCATGGGGTATGTGGGATATTCTTTGTTCCAGTCTTACTCAGGACCCCTCCCGTAACTTTCTCCAGCTGCTTCCTGCACACGTATGGAATTGGAAAACTTAACCATCTTTCCTTCCAAGTTCCATCCTTCTCTCACCTTCAGCTGGTCTCTCTTGACTCTACTCCTCGCTTCCTTGACTCTGTTTCCATTTCTGGAGACAAGTTGTTCACTAATAGCCACAACAAACCCACTGACTTCCACAATTACTTTGAATACACTTTCTCACATTCTGCTTCTGTAACGACTCTGATCATTTTCCGCACTTCTGCTCTCATCCTTCTCCTCTTTCCCAGAGCAACAACAGGGACCCCCTTAGCACTCACTTTCCAGTCGACCAGTCTCTGCATTTAAAAGAATCATTGTCAGTTTTACTACCTCCAGCAGGATACCACCAAATACATCTTCCCCTCCCTTCTTGTCAGCTTTCTGCAGGGACTGTTCCCTCTGCAACACCCTGGTCCACTCCTTCATCACTTTCAAATACTCTTCATCCCTCCATGGCACCTTCCTATGCAATCGCATCAGGTACAACGTTTGTCCCTTTAAATCCTCTTCTTCATTGTCCAAGAGGAGCAGTGACGAGAGCAAGCTGGTGAGGCAGCTGATAGCGGGACACTGGCAGAGGCGCGGCGAGGGCCGGAAAGCCCAGAGCGGGACACTGGCGGAGGCGCGGCGAGGGCCGGAAAGCCCGGAGCGGGACACTGGCGGAGGCGAAGTGAGGACCGGAAAGCCCGGAGCGGGACTGCAGCAGTGGAACAGAAAGGTGGACTCATTTTTTTTCTTTATTCTGAGTTAATGTGAATGGCCCCATATAGGTAAAAATGAAGGTACACACTTTTCACTGTATTTTTACATTGAATACATGTGAAAATGAATGATTCAATTCAATTCAACATCTTCAATGTGAGGCAGCAATTTACTTTCAATTTTTTAAAATTTAGTCTACTACTTTTCAATTAGCTGCTCACAATGCAGTCTCTCTCTACACTGGTAGAGACCACAGGCAGATTGGATTACTTTGAGAGAACAACTCCAACTCTGTTCTCAAGAATAACTTCAACCTTCATTTGTCATTTCAATTTACCACCTTGCCCTCACACTGACATTTTTGTCTCAGGCCTGCTGCAGTAGTCCACTAAAGCTGGAGGAACAAAATCTCATTTGTCACTTAGGCACATCACAGCCTTCAAGACTCAACACTGAGTTCAACAATTTCAGACCATAAGCTATGTCCTCCACCCTCTCGCCCTCCCCCTAAAATCTCATTTGCATGGGTTAGCTCTCAGAAGAGATGACCCACCATTTATACCTATTCTTCATCCATATCATTTCTGTAATACCTTCAGCACTCCCGTTGCTTTATGTTTTCAGGAACCGTTAACCACCTATTCCACTTACTCCTCTTCTTCCTTTTCCTATAGCATAAAACCCATCAGCTCTGAAGAGGGGTCATACCGGACTTTAAACATTAGCTCTGTTTCTCTCTCCACAGATGCTGCCAGATTTGCTGAGTATCTTCAGCACTATGTTTTTATTTTAGATCTTGAGCAGCCACAGTATTTTGCTTTTATTAAATAGGTAAATTTTGAATGTCATTGTTTAGGAATCAACTGTTATAGTTATTTTTGTTTTATAAACTAATATTCACAAGGCTAGAATGTCGTAGATTTGATCTTTGTTGCACTTGAATTAGCTAATCTTAAACAAGGTCATGACGAGCCAATGGTATCCCTAACGATAATCCTCAGCTAAGGTGAATATTCAGCTTGGTCCTGCTTCTGATTATTACTGGTGGCTTGATTGAACAGTGAAGTCCAAAACCAAAACCAAAACCAGCCAGACATGTGATTCCCCTCCCAAAACTACCACCTCCCTTTCAAATAGCTGATATCCTCCAGATAGTGGTCATGGTCTAGGATCACTGATGAATAATGGTAAATTAAGTAAAATATTGAGGACTATTGGTGTCAATGAGGTGTGACGCCAATGGTGGTTTAATTCCTTTTGCAGAAAGGGGAAGTAGGGTGAATGAAAAAGGGTATTCGGTGATTATCAGCCACTCCAAAATAAAGTAGATTCAATGGTGTAAAACACAGGAGAACAGATGATAAAAGTTAATTGAAATTAGTGCTGACTGCATGAATTCAGCCTGTTCCAGCATAACACCATGGAATGTTCATACATGATAACCGTTAGCAGATAGAACAAAGTTCAAGCTAGTACTACCAGCTTCACAAACTGTGTGCTTTTACTTCTTTGCTGTGGTTGTTGAATTCATTCCACAAGGGGTTTGTTTTTACTCTTATGTTTTTCTCCCAAACACAAATTATTGCCTTAATTTCTAACAAATTACATTATTTGGCACTGAATGTAACTAATCATTCCAAGCAGTTAAACACTGTCCTGACTGGCACCTATCAATTTAGTTCTAGTGTTAACAAAAACGTCCCCGAAAAATATATTATGAGTCACGTAATTGGTATTGCTCACTAATAAAATCAATCGTGTTGCTGCTTTCCCTATGCTATCTCTTATACATAAATTGATTTATGTCTATTTCATAATAAATTGATGGTATCAGATAAAAGATTAGGCGGGTGGGGAGAAACAACTGGGAAACATGACTAAACCCAAGTGACACAAATCAGAATTCTCATGGTGCAGAAGGAGGCTATTCGTCCCACTGTGTCAACACTGGCTCTATTATCAAGTGCCAATCTCCTGCCTCTTCTCCATATCCCTGAACACCATTTCTACACAAATAGCCATCCAATGCCCTCTTGAATGCCTCAACTGAGCATTCCACCAATCACATTTCCTAGCAGTACTGTCCACACCCTAATAATATCACATCACTTTAAACTTACGCCCTCTCAGTCTTGTTTCTTTTACAAGTGGAAACAGCTTCACCCTATTTACTCTGTCCAGTGTGCTCATGATTTTAAAAACTTCCATCAAATGTCCTCTCATCCTTCTTTTCTCCAGGAAGGAGAGTCCCAACTATAACAGTACCAACGGTATCAATTAAACAGCATCAACTAAAATCACAAAGTTGCTCATACTCTTTGTTCTATAAACAATCCATTCCACTATACTAAAATACAACTGGAGGACTGCAGCGGTTCAAAAAGGCCGCTCACCACCACCTTCTCAAGGGCAACTAGGGATGGGCAAGAAATGCTGGCCAGCCAGTGACACCCACATCCCACAAATGAATAAAAAAAACTGAAAGCCTCTCTCCTATTGGACAAGCAAGGAATGGCATAGGTTCTGACAACTTTATAAACCTTCAAAACTGTTTTCCTTTATGGCAGTTACTAGGTTTGATCTAAACTTACTAGCCTGTAAGACTACACCAGTCCGTAAATGCACATTATTCAGATTATATCAAACAACAGGATCACTTTAAGCTACAATGGGAAAAGAACAAAACAATGGGAAAAGAACAAAACAATGTACAAATAGTGAGTGAAATTGTCTTACTTTTGTGAAGTTTAAGAATAGTATATGACATGGCTGTGAGAATTCGATCTCCTTCTAGCATGTAGATGTCCCAGAGTCTCAATGTGAGGGTGAAGGGAGTCTACGCCAAGGCAAATTAAAATAAAACAAGTGTTTAAATATTCTTGGAAATGATTCAAGATTCACACAATGTTGCTAAAAATCTATTAGTTTGCTTTAGAACAGATTATTTCCTTTGTGCTGAACAGTGGATAGAGGAAATTACTTCAGTTAACAACTTTCTCACTTGTAACTAGATTAGAAAAAAAAATCAAGATCCTTTATAACTAGTAAACAAACATAAGGAAAGTCCACAGGTAAAGGCATGAATACGACTAAAGTTGAGGCATGACAAATGCTCAGACAGCTAGAACTACTGTGACTTTTTAAAAATCGTTGATCTGACCAAAAGACAGAAATTGTCATTTCTACTGTTCCATCAGGCAGATTAGTTATACCACCATTAGTAAGTAAAGAACTTTTACATCTTAAGTATTACATCGATTATTAATTTTTTATCAGTTAAATTTAATTTTTCACAATTTAGATTCATTTATCTTATCCTCCTGCTATTCTTGAAAGAAAGTATATTCTTGATATACCAAACTGCAACTTAAACTATTTTAATCTCGTTTAGATTCTTTTGATTCCCTACTTTCTATATTACGCTGCTCGAGTTTCACCAACAGTTAATTCCTCTTACACTTAGATTCAATTTTGGTTTTCTTACACTTACTGTAATTTTTGCATGCAATTTTGTATTAATCAGAGTTGAAGCTAGTACAAGAAATGGGATAAAAACCAGGAGTTTGCAAAGTTTTAATAAAACCTCTGGAAACTTGTAAACTACTGTCCTGGAACAGAAGCAATCACAATTTTTGGATCTTCAACCTTAACAAGAAACTGAAAGTGGCAAGTTGATCATTACACAGTACGCTTCTGCTGTATCAATTTGATTCATTGCAAACTTAAACATTTTCAACCAATATGCAGTACTTGACCATTGCCTCTTTTAAATTTATCTGCAAGAATGTAAATAGCTTAATGTGCAAAACTACTGACCCTCCAGATACTTGCTGTGTTGCTCATTAATGAAGAGCAATTCTGGAAATTATAGATTGAATTAGATGAAAGTAAAAGCTCCCTTGGGATAAATTTATTGTTTAACTGATTAATGTAAATGGAAATTCAATGACTAGGCTGAAGCACACTACCCTGTCTATTAAACAATATTTCAGGCTTAAATATTGTACATAATCTGTTTTTGACAAAAGAAGCAGTGTACTGCAACACATCTAGTTGAATCATCCTGGTTTCTGCCCAATGTCAGAGATTCATAACAAATCTAATCAGGTTTGCATATTCTAAATGTTGCAGTTGTAAGGAACAATACATATTTTCCCGGAGTCAAAAAATGTGTGCACAAATGAAACAAGAACAACTTAACTAAGTTTTCTGTAAAAGGACCAAGCTCTGAAGTACAGTCCTGCACTACTCTACCAAGGTAAATTCTCTACAACTTAATACTACAGATATTTGAAAGCATGAATTATCAATATTTATAATTAGGAAATATTTTTAAAAAGTGGGCAGTGCAACCTTTTATTAGGTGTCTACTTGTGCATCCAGGATGGACACTTGCAAAACTAAATTTGTTCAGATTCATGAGTCAATGTCCATGACCTTTTGTAACTTTATTTCTGTCCAGTTGTTCATAATCTTCTCTCTAATATCGATTTTCAAAACTTGAACCAACCTGGAGCTCTTTAATTGCCCTTTTTTAAAAATAGGAATAGTCTGCATTTTTTCTAGTCTCCCAACAGTTCTCTAGTATTCAGTGAATTCTTAAGACATGTAACAGAGTTCCTCGAGTTTCCTTCCTTGGTTCCTGAAGAACCTTCAGATGCAATTTATGTGACCACTAAGATTTATCTATCTTTAGACGACATGGTTGTTTAGCAAACATGTTCGTTATAAGGTGAGTAGTGTCACAACTTGCCTCTGTAAAACCTTAGAGTTGTCTTTTCAGAATAAATAAGTTATATGCTCCACCCAACCTCTACATAGTAAAGGCTGAAGCAAAAAAAAAAATCAATATCCAATTGAAACATAATCTTCACCTTATTAATTTAGGATCTTTATTAGTCATGGACTACAGAAGCATTTGTGTAAAATATTTGGCTTAGCAAGTCTAAACCATTCTTCATCAATGTAAAACTTCTTAAAAATGCCATAAAAACACAGGTTAAAAAGAAAATAGGGTAATTAATTGATACAAGAGAAGATCTGTGCATCTTGTGTTTTGGTACCTAACATAATAAGGAGGAGCCACTTGACAGTCGATTATTTTTGACTACAAAATAACTAAAATAAATGGAAATGGAATGGAACAGAACAGTGTGTATTTACTGTAGTTCATCATATTTCCTTTTCACTGGCACTCGTAAACTTGACTTAAAGACAATCTTAATGATTCTAACATTAAGGCCTTTGATATAGTTGTACTGTTTAGAAATTCTGAATATAAATACAAGCTTACCCATTAGTATAGATATTATAATCAATCTGTTCAGAGATGTCAATACGCACCTCTGGAGCAGGTGGGATTTGAACTCAAACAGTGTGAAATATTCCATAGGATTTCTGAAGAACTAGATAAACTAGAAACCGCTAAGCAGATGAATATTTGTTTCGTAACACGTGAACTAAAATGTAGTGTTCTAGTCTTTGTTTCAGTTAACAGCCGACACACAATAGATGTTTACACACGTAAATGAGGCAAATCTTCTATTTTCAAACTCATTTAAAAATCGCAATGACTAGGAAGCAATTAGAGCTTTGTACTAAAACTGGAGATGATATCATTGGCAAGTATTTTTATTTTGAATTAACTGCAATTTTTTACGAAGAGTGTGCTTTCAGCTTTGTATAGTGTAGCATCAAAGAGCCCCAGCAAAACTGGAATCAATGGGTATGTGACGGCAAACTCTCCAGTAGTTGCAGTAATGCCTGGCACAGAGGGAGATGGTTGTAGTTGGAGGTTAGTCATTTCAGCTCCAGGTCACCTCTGCAGGAGTTCTTCAGGGTAGTGTCCTAGGTCCAACCATCTTCAGCTGCTTCATCAAAGACCTTCCATCCATCATAAAGTCAGAAAGGGGGATATTCGCCAATAATTGCACAATGCTCAGCACCATTCATGGCTCCTTAGACACTGAAGCAGTCCGTGTTCAAATGCAGCAAGATCTGGACAACATCCAGGTTTGGACTGACAAGTGGCAAGTAATATTTGCACCCTACAAATGCCAAGCTATGAGCATCACCAATAAGAGTCAAACTAATCTAACCAGCACCCCTTGACATTCAATAGCATTACCATGACTGAATCCCCCACTATCAACAGCCTGGGTGTTATCATTGAACAGAAACTCGACTGGACTCGCCATACAAATACAGTGGATATAAGAGCAGGTCAGAGGCTAGAAATCCTGCAGTGAGTACCTCAACCCCTGACTCCCCAAAGCCTGTCCATCAACTACAATGCACAAGTCAGGGCTGCAATGGAATGCTCCCTACTTGGTTGGATCAGTACAGCTCCAATAACAAATCAAGAAGCTTGACACCATCCAGGTCAGAGCAGCCCTACATTCACAAGCATCCACTCCCTTCACCACCAATGCTCAGCAGAAATTCACCAAAGATCCTCAGACAACACTTTCCAAACCCACAGCCACTTCCATCTAGAAGGACAACAACAGCAGATATGTGGAAATACCGTCACCTGCAAGTTCCCCTGCAAGTCACTGACCATCCTGACTTGGGAATGTATCATCGTTCCTTCACTGTCGCTGAGCCAAAATCTTGGAATTCCCTCCTTAATGACACTGTGGGTCAACCCAAGCAGGTGGACTGCAGCGGTTCAAGGAGGCAGCTCACAACCACCTTCTCAAGGGCAACTAGGGATGGGCTATAAATGCTGGCCAGGCAGCAACACCCACATTAAATAAAAAAGATTCCACATAGGACTATAGACAATCTGGAACCTGCAAATGTGACATCTGTTATGTTTTGCCTACAATGAAGTTTTTGGTATTATGATCATATTAAAACTGGCAACTGCAGTTTTGTTACATTTTATTCCATTTGAAAACAATGTGCTTTCCAAGTCTGATCTATTTTCTGGCACAAAGAAAATATAACACTCCCTTTCCTACCTCTTGTGTTAATCTTATGGCTTGAACTGTCTCAGTTTGGCAATTTGTAAACATTGCTAATGGATGGATTGATTGAATGCTTCAGCAAAAGATAAGTCAAGCAATTTGGATCATAATTCCATTCAGAACCTGCAAGCATCCAAATGAAATACTTGTTTTAAAAAAGGTCTGAATACATGTTTCCTCAATCACACTATGCAGTTCACCCAAGACCCCATCGCCATAGACCCAAGTTGGCTCTCACTAAAGTGGATGATTGATTTTTAAGGTACTGTAACTTCCTGAATCCTACAGCACTCCAAGTTCCTTGTATTCTCAAATTCTGGCTTTCTGAGCACCTCCAATTTTAATCACTCCATTGGAATCACTGCTTTCAGGTGCTAAGTCCCTAAGCTCTGAAATTACCACTTTTCTCTAAGGTTTTGGAGTAGATCTGTAGCTCAGGTTGTGGGTGTTGAGGTTGGTTGGCTCGCCGAGCTGGTTTGTTGTTCCGCAGATGTTTCGTTACCGTGCTTGGTAACATTCTCAGTGCAGCCTCTGATGAAGCGTTGGTGTGTTTTCCCACCTGGTTTTTAAACTCTGGGGTCCGTTGTGATGGATTGCCTCACTTCTGGGTTTCCTCCGTAGTGGAATGTATATGGGGTCAAGTTCAATGTGTTTATTAATAGCATGCTTCGTGGAGTGCCATGCTTCCAGGAATTCTAGTGTTTGTCTCTGCCTAGCCTGTCCCAGGATCTTGGTGTTGTCCCAGTCAAAGTCGTGGTTCTCCTTGTCCATGTGGATTGAGATGAGTGAGTATTGATAGTGTCTTTTTGTAGCCAGTTGATGTTCATATACTCTTGTTGTTAGTTTCCTTCCTGTTTGTCCGATG